GCAATTTGCAGCAACATACTGTTCGAGCTTATTGCTCGTACTATGTAGCAGCTTTCGTCAAGCGTTCCTCCTGTCTTGACAGTAGGTGCGCATATCTGACAGTTTTACTATAGTAGTAATATTTTAACATATATAGGCTAGGCTTTTATGCTTTTTTTATAGCATTATAAATAGTGTTTACACACTTTATTAGTAATAGTTCTTTAAGTAATATATAAAAAAAAGTAATAAAGACTTATTATTAAATTTAACTACTTTTTAGTAAGGTAGCACTCTTTTTACTCTCTTAAGACTTGCTTTAAAAGATAAAGATAACTAAGTTATGTTATAAGCTATATATGCTTTTTAATTATGTACAGCCTATTATAAGCGCATTTATAGGCAAGCAGCAGTCACTGCTGTCTCTGTAGGCGTCTTGTCTGCAGAGGAGGCGCCTGTCTCTATCAGCCCTGCAGGTCTATGTCTGCTGTCTACATTAGAGTTGTCTGCTATGTTATGTCTTATAACTACAGATATGTTGTTTTTATTAGCATATATACTATTAGATTCTTTGTTTTTACTTAATGTTACTATGTAGTATAATAATAGTAGCTAACCTAGTCTAGTACTTATAACTAAAAGCGCCTTTTTTTTATCTTTATTTATTAGAACTTTATTATATAAATAAGTATTATTTAATATTATTTCTTTAGCTATAAATATACAGTTATGTAGGGTTTAATTTAATAGTATATTATAGAAGCAGCGTAGGTCTTAGCTTACTAAGAGTAGAGTTAGAGGAGAACTAGTGCAGCTATATTAGATAGAGGATTATAGTAATAGTAAAGCATAAAAGAGTGTATTACTAACTAAGTAAAAGCATTTAGTACTAGATATTAAACTTAACTAAGCACTTAAAAACTAATTTTTATAGTTTTATTAAGCTAAGTAAGTTATAGTTATTAATTTAATCTTATATAACTATGTCTAGCTTATATGTAGAAGTAGCTACTGTATTTACATCTAACAGTAGATAAGCAGTAATGTAGAGAAGTATATAACACTACTTATTTTTTATTATTATATATATTTTTTCTTTTACTTTTTTTTTATTCTAGCGAAGGCTATAGTAGTAAAAAAGATGTTAACGTACTTTACAAGCGAGTTGCTTACACACCTAAGTTGCTTACTTTTGCTAAGACTCTACTATACTACTTTTCTTACACTAATGCATTCCTAACAACACTACTTAAATGTGTTAAAGAAATGTTAAATGTAGCTTACACTTTAGGCTTTTAAATAAAACATAACACTTTTTAAGCAACACGCTGCAGCTATTTATAGGGTTTTTTAAAAGATAGTAAGTAACTAACACGCTAGACAACTTTTTTAAGCTAATTATATAACGTACCTAACAGGTTGGCCGGCCACACGGGTTGGCCGGCCACTTTTGCCAAGCCCCCACTAAACTCTACCTATCTACATAATGCCTTAACAACAACACTAGATTAAATCTTCTAAAGAACGTTAGATACAGCTTACTCTTTAGGCTCTTAAACAAGACTTAAAACTCTCCTTAGAACGCGCTGTAGCTATTTATAATGTCTCTCACACAACACTAAGCAATTAACGCGCTAGACAGCCTTTATAAGCAAAATGCTAGCCTAAATTAAGGAATCTAACTAAGCTTAAAAAGAAAGTAGTTATTAAGTACATACTTAAGCTTATTACACGCAGATTTCCCCCTAGGCTTACAGCTATAGCTAATATAGCTAATTCCTTGCCTGTAGAGCGCAATCTAGGCTAGGTTAGCTTAAACTAGACTAGTATGTAGGTTAAGCACTGCCCTAAGTTTATAATAAAGTTTAATTGCAAGTATAATTATAAAAGAGCACTTTATAAGAATCTAGAGGTTATCTAGGGCTAGTTTCACCTAGTAGCTAACATAAAAGCTAAGTATAGTATCTAGAATAAAGACAGGTATAACTTTAACAAGTTAGGCTTTATAATAGGCTAGATATTAACTAGAGCAGTTGTTACAGCTTTAGAGAGACAAGAATAGCTAAAGGCAATACAGTAAAGTAATAAGAAGTAGACAACAGTTATCTAGGGCATTAATATAACAAGGTAGGCTATAAGATTATAAAGCTTTAAGCAGTAAATAAAGCTGCTACACAACATAGATTATATAAAAGGAAGCAGATTTAGGCAGAAAGGACTTTAATAGTTAAGAATAGGGCTTGTCTAACTGCTTTAAAGGAGTTTAGAGCGCGTAGTAATAGGAAGAAGCTAAAGACGCAGGTGCGCGCTAAAGGAGGTAAGCTAAGTTAAAGGCAATGCAGGCAGTGCAATTAGACTAGGCATAACTTACATATGTGTAAGTAAGTAGCAGAAGTAGACTCTAAATAATATCTTATGTTGTATTACTCTATACAGGGCTAAAGTAGGCTGTTTTGCGAGAGAATAGGGTGGTTTTAGTAGGGGCTTGGCAAAAGTGGCCGGCCAACCCGTGTGGCCGGCCAACCTGTTAGGTACGTTAGCTAACTTATAAAAGCTAGATAATAATAAGAAGTAAGTAATTATTTAGCACATACTTAAGCTAAATGCGCAAGGATTTCCCCTCTAGCTAGCAGCTATAGCTAATATAGCTAATTCTTTATATACTAAGCATAATATAAGCTATGTTAGCATAAACTAGCCTAATATATTTATTAAGTGTTACTTAAAGCTTAAAGTAAAGTTTAAGTGTAAGTATAACTATAAAAAAGCTTTTTATAAAGATCTTATAGTAATTTAAAGCTAGTTTAACTTTATAAAGAATATTAAAGCTAAGTATAGCATTTAAGATAATAACATATACAACTTTAATAAAATAAGGTTTATAATAGGCTAGATATTTACTAAAGCAGTTATTATAAGTTTAAAAAGATAAAGACAGCTAAAAGCAGTCTAGCTAGGTAACTAGAAGTAGACAACAGCTATTTAGAGCATTAATGCTAAAAAGTAGGCTATTTTACTTTTTATTATTTTTTAAAGTAGTAACTACCTTTTAAACTAGTATAAAAAGGAAATTTTACTTTAAAATTAAGTTATTATAATCTCTAAGCGCAGCTAGACTACTAATTAGCTTAGTCTAGACTAGTTAAAGCACTTTAATGCGCATATAAAAAAGTGTACTATTAGTAGCTACTATCTACTAGTTATTAACAGCTATAAAAGCTATAACTTACTTTATTTTTAGTAATACTATAAAAATAATAAAATTATTACTATTTATATACTTTTTTACTTATTACACTTTCTATAGCTACTTAATATAAGTTGTTTTACTTCTTTAAAAAAAGTGTATAAGCGCTAAGCTAAAAACCTTATATATAACTAGATTACTTATATTATAAAAATAAAGTTCTTACTATGCTTTAAAGTAGCCTATAATACTATAATTACTTTTAGTAATATTTAAGAAGAGTTTTAAGGCGCTAGATTAGTTTCTTTTAACTTATAATAAGTTATAATAGGCCTTAATATAAAGTTACACACTTTATTACTACTACTACTTATATATAATAAGCTTTAGTAGTTATAAACCTTAAGTAATACTTTAAAACTTAAGTTATAATTAATGCTTATAAAAATAAAAATTTAAAAGTATATACATAGTTTACTAACTTTTATAGTTAAAGTGTTTAAAAAAATTTTAAAAAGGGTAGTAATAATTATATATAAGCTAGTGTTAGTATAATAGAAAATTACTAAGCTTTAAGTAGCTAATAAAGCTACTATATAATATAAATTATATAAAAGAAAGTAGATTAAAGCAGAAAAAACTTTAATAATTTAAAAAGGCCTACACTTAATAGCTTTAAAAGAGTTTAAAGCGCGCAGTAATAGAAAGAAGGTAAAGAAGCAGGTGTAAGCTAAAGTAGGTAAGCTATTCTAAAGGCGCTGCAGATAGTGCAATTAGACTAGGCATAACACGCAAATGTATAAGTAAGAAGCAGAAGTAGTATCTAAATAATATTCTAGGCTATACTGTACTATATAGTGCTAGAGCGGGTTGTTATAGGCTATAATAGAGTTTGTTAGGGTGGGGTCTTGGCAAAAGTAAGCGACTCAGGTGTGTGAGCAACTCGCCTGTGAAGTACGTTAGCTAAATAACTACTAATAAAGTAAACTTAATAAATTACTTACTATACTAAAGGTTAATACTTAATGTAATTTTTTATAGTTTAAGAACTAAAAGTGTTTTATAGTAGTAATAATATATAGCGCACTATATTTAGCGTAATAGAATGTAGTAGTTATAGATGTTCTTAGAGGGGGAGTTTTTAAAGGGGGTTCTGTGTAGTGTGTAAAATTAGGGTATAGATAAGTTTTTTTTTGCATATGTTTAGATTTTTAATGCCTTTAAGCTATTTAGATTTTATTAAAAATAAGCTTAATTAAAACTTACTATAAATTTATATACTATATTAAATTTTAAAAGCTGTTAATAATAAACTTATTATACTATTATAAATTATAATATTATATTTAGCTTTTAAAGTAGGTTAATTTATAGAGAAAATTACAAAAGTCCCTTAGACAGCTAAGGAGAGAAACGCTACTAACAGGGGTTAGAAACTGCTAACCCCCAGGCCATACTCTATTTAGAGTAGCAATATGCATGGTGGTTTGTGCGTCCTCGGTTCTCTCCTTACGTCTGAGCTAGCTGAGATAATCTCTCGCTATACCAATGACAACACACTATCCAGAACCCAAGGATACCTTCAGTCCACTCGCTCCATAAACGAAATAAGTTAGAGTCCACAACTTCTTGCTTCACATTGAAATTGACATTAAATCCACCTCATTCACTTATCCCCGACGGCAGTGCAATTAGACTTCAGGTCCCTGAAGCAGTGTGTATACTCTTTCACTCTCTACCCATCATCAATGTCGATTGTGTCCCCGCCTCGGTTCTCTCACCGCTGAGAGGGTGTGCTTGACCTGAATGCTATCTCCTTCGTACTTAGCGATAACAATTAGTGGGGCTGGGTGCCATCCGTGGAGGCCAGCACCATTCCCATCGTAATCAACGGTAGGTATGAGTGTAGCAGAAATGGAATAAGCCGAATTAGCTAGAGGTTGTCAATCCAGGGACAAGCGAGCTAGGTGTTGTTGCTCTAGAATACTCGAAAGGGTGTCAGTTCAGTGACGAAGTCTGGTGGTTCGATTAAATGAAGGTAGGAACAGAAGCGAGTCGGCAAGGGTTACTTCGTAGAGCCCACAGCTCGACAAGACAGTGGTTAACGCCCCAGACCCTAGAAACCATGTTTAGACAGACTACAATTGTTAGTCCATGCAACCCCTTGTTAAGATATTACCATAAGCGCATACCTGAGCGGCGGGCAGGGTATGGCGCCGATGTATTGGTCTGGGAAGGTTTTTCCTTCGGTACGCAGAGACAGAGTGCCAATGCCCAGTACGGGGAGGGAGGACGACGACAGAAAGGTGCTCAAGGTCAATCAAGTAAATAGGAAGTGTGCCTTGATAGTGGGAGTACCCGGCGGCGTTGGTTTGGATCTTCGGATCAGGTGGGTTGCCATTACTGAGAAGCCAGCATTTAGAGAGAACGAGGCATTCGCAGAGAGACAAAGAGAGTGTGGTCGGAAACATGCAAAGAAGAGGCGATTGGCGGCATCTGCAGTCTTTGTCCAGCACCGATATCCCCCACCAAAGCCCTTGCTGTAGTCTGAATGTAGCGGGGTGAGGCCACGATGAGGCCTCCGAATGGCATGTGGTATGGTGCCCCACAGCTGGACGAACCTTTTGGTCAAGGTTCATTTCCTTCTGCTGACCATGGATGTTAGTATCTCCATTCTGCACGCGAAAGCAGAGTCAGCACAGTACACAACAAGTGAGCTAGCATAGGAAGGGGGATGGGTCAGCGTACTTGATAAAAATGATAAAAATAGGGAGTGGGAGCATGGACCCCTAGTAAGGGATAAAAATGGAAGTGGGGGGAATAGACCCCCCAGTAAGAGTAAATAAAGAAATAAGAATGGTGGATAGATAGGGGTGGGCTCGTCCAGCGCAACAAAGAGGTTGGTGGCTGAGAGAAGAAGAACGGCAAGGGAGGAAGGGGGAGGCGGACACAAGTAGGCTGAAATGTTGGCAGAGCAAGAGCTGGTATGAATGACATAATAGCCCTAGAGAGAAGCCACTCAACCTGCTAGAGCGGTTCGGGGTGGGGCAAGGGGGCAAGCATTGTTAGAATTCTGCCGTCTGGCCAATTGCAAGCGTAGTCTAGTTGAAACGTAGAGAAGGGCCTCCGGAATTGTTCGTCGGATTGGCTGTCTGTATTGGGGTGTTACGGCTCATGAAGTTTAAGGAGTGCCGGGCTGGGTGTAGCGAGACATAGAGTCCGAAAGGCCATGTTAGAGGCAGATAGAGGTCTGCAACCTGATTGCATGGAGATGAGCCTTCGCAACTGGCTGGGGATGGAGATTTTTTCCTCGTCGGTGAAAGAGAGGCCCGCTTGCTACAGCACACGCTCGCGTTACACCATCACTAGCACCCATCCACCATCTCCTCTCTACACTACCTTCCTGTCATGCCCAAGAAAGCTCTCCCCTGGGACAACGATGAAGCTTTACAGGCCATGCAGGAACGCGTACAGGTTGTCCTGACGCGTCAGAAAACCTGCGCATAGCCTTCAGGAGCGCATCGCCCGGACCCTAAGTTCCTAGTGGTGACGGCATAAGTTTGTTTTCTTCTCGTTCCATACATACTCGTAATCGGCACCCCACTGACTTCCCTTTTTCGCGAGCTCCTTCAGCGGTGCGTGGAAACGTCCAACCTAGAGCGGCGGCTAGAGCTCTCAGTCCCTGTGAGCAATTCCTATCTGCTGTCAGCGTGCGGGACCACTTGCTCTGTCACCAACAACAGCAATACCATGCCATGTTGGTTTCCAGTCTATAGGTACCGCCATGATGCTATATAGTCCGACTACCATGATACACCCTACTGTCTTGTTGGATAGTTAATATATGGCTGATTCTCTCGAAGGGGCTAGGAGAGGAGGTGGTTTGAACGAGACATCAAAGAAGGGCGGGCATAACGTAAACGCAGTCCACAATCGGTATATACGGATGTGTAACCTGCGTCAACCCCTAGGGCTCTTTCCGTCATCGAAACAAAAGCACCCCGCGCCTGGAGCCATTCGTAGTCAGGCCTTCCGATAGCCTCTTCATAACTCAGGTGCCCAGGGTAAACCCAAATCCATTGCCTGTAGCCCGAAGAGAGCGGCCACAACCTCAAAACGAGCGAACAGCATATCTTAACCTGCAGGGGTCGCGCTCCCAACAAAGCCGCTTTTTTGTAGAGCGCAGGCTGTGATTGACTCTAGTCGGAACAATGTCGATGTGGGGTAAATGTGGGGAGAGGTTGGTTGGATCGTCATATTTCCCTTTCTCTTTTGCATTTAGAGGCCAGGCAGCGATTTACTAATCAAGAGGGTACTAAATTGGCTCGCGGATATTAAAGAACGTTGAACAAATCTCCGGCATCTTAAGGATATTCAGAAGTTAGACTCTTTAATAGTTTCTTAACTTCTTGATTGCCTAAAGTAAAACTAAGTGGCCGCCTGGCTAGGCTCCAGCGCCCCCCGGGTAAGACTAGTATCTGTAAGATAGCAAACCTCTATCTCTCTCACAACGGAGTCAACACAAGTCAGGCGGTGATGGACCCCAGATCAGAGGAATCATCCGGAAGGAGGACCAAAAGGCGGGCGAATAGCCAATGGAGAACTGCTTAAGTAGATAGTAAAATGACGTAGTTGCTTATGCATAGTAGTAACCTAGAAGGGGATAGTGCCTTGTAGCTAGCCATGGTAATAGTCATTGAAAGAGATGTGCTGCTAAAATCCATGGGGCATCACCTCTCTTGTCCTGATATCCTACGATATCATCTAATATGCTCTTCTTTTCGAACTCTTCGCTTAAAATTCGAGAAGGCTGAAAGAATAGCCGCAATGTTGGGGAGAGGAAGAGCGGATATTCCTCTATCAAGCGGAATAATCTAAGGAGTTTGGTCTTCCCACGAGTCGACTTCTCCATCAACTACTCTGCGGCTGGGTCATTAGGAACGATACTCGCGACATCTCTCCAGTATCATCAATAAATCTCTGACGTCATAGCTATTTACAACTGTGGGCTTTGTAGGTACGGGCTGCTAGAATTTCATCTCCTCGGTGGTTGTTTAGTTCCTCATACCGAAGCGGTTTCCTGAAAATGGATAGATCACTTTTGATGTAACTCTATTGACAGACTACGTCACTTCGTATCTCTGGCATCATAGTGGGCTATAGCTATGATGATTGTATGCCTGGGTAGATTGAATTTCCATCTCCTCTTCGTCACTTCGCCCCTCACACCTAGACGACTACTAGATGATAGTACACCCGTCTTTTAATATAGCTCTTCCCAGGGCTTACGTTAGCCCTTACCTCTGGCGTCATAGTGGGTCACAACTCTGGGGTTTGTTGTACGGGTATATCGAATTCCATCTTGTCTTCGTCACTTGGTTCCTCATATACTACAGCAGCTTCCGGACGATGTATACATCCCACTTTTGATATATATATCTTCTGAGAACGGTAGAGATCATGAGAATTGGTGCCCATATGCTTACGTCGCCGTTTTAGGGGTAGCACAGCCGGTGACAGCAATGGGGTGTCTTTCTCGTGGGCAGATTGAATTCCATCTCGTCTTTATCGCTCGGTTCCTCACACCAAAGTGGCTCTGGAGGGTGGTACATCCCGCCTTAGATAATACTTGACTTTGGTTTTTGACCTTGATGTCTTAGACTCTTGATCGTCGTGCTTTGATCCCAGGCTAACATGGCAACTAGCACACAGCACTTAGCAGCTGTATTTAACACCCAATAGCTTCGGATAATGAATACATGAATGAGACAAACTTTAGATCAGCTCCCGAAACGCTATTCCTTATTATGATCTTGTCGAAATTACCCCTGTTAGACGGATTTCTAACAGATAGTCTTCACGTCGGACCTTTCTACAGTACGTACTGCTCGTGAGCATCGAAGCCCCAGAAGATGAACCAGCTTATCTTTGGATGGCATCCATTATGCCCCTTGTCTTCATTCTTTCTCAGCTGGGCTGCTCGCCAGAAAGTTAATCGGTTCCTACAAGTTAGAATTACGGGCTTAGCAGGGGCGAGGTTCAACCAACACTTCCGCTCTGCATGTGTTCCAACGTTTTTGAGGCAACGCTCAACCATTCATTTGTTATTACCTGGATCAAAGACCCAAGCCTCCCGTGTGAAGCTCTCCGTCTACCAGCCCTGACCAGGAAAATGTGGATCCCACTACAAGTCAGACTACCCTCCGTATCATGAACGCCTTCCGCTTCAGATCCTGCAAATATAGATGCACGTCTATGGGAACCAGTCATTTCCATGTCGTCATAACGCCGTATCCGAAATAAGGTTGTGGCATATCAGGAATGCGAGACATATCTCAACATAACCCAGCTGTTGTGGGCCTGGGCGCTCAGCCCTACGGCTTCGCGTATTCCTTGGTCCACTGGCGAGCCGTTTCAATAGCTGCCTTCTCGTCCTCTTTCCAGTGTTGGGCGACGTCGTTCGCAAGCGGGTCGTCTGGGTTCGGGGCCCCCAAGAGAGCTTGAATGGACAAAAGGATGGTCCGGATCTGGAGGGCAGGAGACCAGTTGCCTAAGGTTGTTAGCGAAAACGCTCCAGCAAACACTCAGGCGGTATTTGTACTCTTCAACACGTCCAAGCAGATACGGCCCAGCCTGTCAATATTTGGGTGGTAGATCTTGGTGAGGAAGCGGATCTTCGGTGGAGTCATGGGATAATCGTCCGGCAGGAAAAGCTCGAGCTTAAAGATGCCACCTGTTACGCGCAGAGTGATTAGCACCTGACGGCCGCTGTATCGGGACGGCTTGAATTACGAACCTTCGTATGGAGACTGGGAGGGACCGTGGATGACAACGTCGAAGTAGCGAAGGTTGTCCTCATGAGGAACGGCACTAATACCCTGCACTCTTTATCCACGCTGTGATCAGCTTCACCTGCTCACAAATGTCACGAGGCTAGAGGGAGGGACTTACGGCTCAGCCATCAGACGCTCGGTCTCCTTGATGATTCTTTTCGGGAGTGCCATCTTGCACACCGCAGCTGTTGTAGACTAGGTGGTATCGAGAAAATGATATCGAAACTGCTGGGGGTTCTCCAGGGAACCCAGAAGCAAAGGTCTAAGGCTTGGGACAAGTGTGGGGGTGGCTGTTGTCTTGTGCTCGTGAGAGTCGGGAGAAGGGAAGGTGGTAGAGGAGAGATTACAGGAGAGACTCTTGCTCTTGCTCACGAGAAGCACGAGAGGCAACGGTCCAGGCTGGATATGGACGCAGACGACAAGGCACTGACTAAAGAGTGTTGCTGGCGGCCTGGCGTCACGCAGGGTAGGGTGGTTGATTGGTAGGGAATCTTGGGAGGGCAGCACAACAGCTGCCGACCCCTCTGCTCCGCCCCGCCCGTGTCCCCGAGGATTCCGCCAGCCGTCGACATCGCTCCAAGACATCGCTCCACGACATCGACGACAAGACGGCCTCCTTCCGTGGAATTTAAAGCTATCTAACCTTTGCTTGCCGTCGGCGCAGCAGTACCAGGAGTATGAGTTGGTGACCTGGGCGTGCTTTGCATCTGTTGTCCAAGAAATGCTGCAGCAAGCCGAGTTTATCAATCCATCAATGTCTTTCAGCTGTTGAGGACGCCCTTTTGCTGTTGACTGAGGTGCTACCGCGCGTTCCATTGCCCCTGGGTGTTTTTCGCGCTCCTGTACTCTCCTACTGTCGTCCCGGAGGGAGTTTGAAGCCCACAGAAGCGGCGAACGACAGCCTTGGCGCGTCTTGCACGATACCCGAATCAACTGCCTCATCCATCCACCTTCCTCTCCTTCTTCCATTAACCACGTCCTCCACACCACCCTTGGCAGGCAGCACACCATAGCTGCTCCGTCTTAGTGTATACGACGGAAAGTGCCAGATTCGAGGCGCGACAAAGAAGGGCTCTTTTTGACCCTTTCCGTAAATCGCAGGAAGCGACCTATCACGTTCATCCTCCAGTGTTCATTGACCTGGAAGGCGCCATGATGCAGTAACGTGGTGCATTAAGTCAACATGACTTCTAGTGGGGATCGGCGAGTAGGCCCATCGTCCGCCTTTGAGAGTACCACGTTTGAGAGGGATGTTGATATCGATTTGAACGAAGATATCGGTGCAGCGTCCATCTCTCCAAGCGGACGTGACGTAGTCTTAGCTAGGTAAGCTTCCTTTTCCCCTCACAATCTAATGGCTTCATTGACGCCTCGCAGCCGGAATGGCCTCCAAATAATAGATCTCGACAACCCATATTCTCCACCGCGACATATTGTCAATCGGACCAGCTGGGATGTTGCAGATGTCCAATGGAGTCCCTTTGCTTCCAGGGCCGATTGGATTGCTTCTACTTGCAACCAGAAAGCACTAATATATAACCTCGGCATGAGTGTTACAGCTTCCAAAGCTCCTATCGAACATACTCTTCACGCGCACACACGTGCAATTACCGATATCAACTTCTCGGCTCACCATCCGGATCTACTAGCGACTTGTGCTGTTGACAGCTTCGTCTACACCTGGGATCTCCGAACCGATCGCAAAGTTGCAAGTTCCTTTTCTCAATTTCGATCTCAGGGCCCGATCACAAGCTTTGCGGACTTTAACGCAGGCGCTACCCAGGTCAAATGGAATCGGAAGGACGACAACATCATCGCCTCATCACATGACCGCTTCTTACGGATTTGGGACAGGCGGCATGGTGCGAAGCCGGTCATAACCATCGATGCCCACCTTACAAAGATATATGGAATCGATTGGCACCGGTCGGACGCAACCAAGATTCTTACGTGCTCCTTAGACAAAACCATCCGGCTCTGGGACCTTTCCGTTGTCAACTCGGACGCTACCCTCAACTACCCCTGTCGTGCAATACACACCGACTATCCGGTTTGGCGTGCGCGGCATACTCCATTCCCAAACGGTATCCTCGCGATGCCCCAGCGTGGAAGCGCCGCTCTTCATCTATATACCCATGCGGCAGGCGGTCCCGCAAACGTCCCAGTAACTACCCCGCCGGTACATCTATTCAAAGCTCATGACGACGATGCCCGTGTACAGGAGTTCTTGTGGCGGTCACGCGGAACACTGGACGATGGCATCGACAATCGCGAATTCCAGCTAGTTTCATGGGGCTCTGATCAACACCTTCATCTCCACAAAATCTCTCCGGATTTGCTATCCAATCTTGTAGGCTTCAGGAAAGGGGACAAATTGAAGGAGGGGCCTGCCATGACTCGAGTCGGCGCTCCATACGTTACCTACCGCGATGATCCTCCGATTACGCCACTGGCGCCGCGGCCAGATGTTACTGGCGATCGGCCTCAACCCCGAGGCGGTTTGAGCTCGCTCTTACGGAATGTTAGTCTAGCAGGCCGCATCACGACCTCATCCTTTCAGAATGGAGAGCGTTCTACCATGACTGCAGGGCGGGTGGGTCGGGATGGCACCTGTCGTGTCAAGACCCACATCCAATGGATGGATGGGGTCAAGGTCGGCGAACGGCAAGCGGATGCCAATGGCAACGCTTACGCAGCCCCTACCCTCCCACACGACCAGCACTCATGGACGGTTCGTAACGATCTCGCTACTGAGATCTCAAACGTTGGCAATCGGTACAGCAAAGTGACATTTGAAGATGTGGACATTGCTCGTCGCCGGATTACTGTGGCTTTCTACGGTCCTTGGGGAGAAGAGGAGACTACCGAAGAGAAGAAAGGCGAAAGGAAATTGGTCTATCTTCGGTTCATCATCAAGTTTCCGGACGCGTACCCCGGAATCGTAGAGCTTCCCGACGAGAATGGTGACTGTATCCAACAACCTCTCCCGATCGATATAGAATTCGAAAAGACTATCGCAGCTATCAGTGGGGACACAGCGAGGCATCTGAGGGAGGACATGCAATCGATCGCATATCACTACGCAATGCAGGGTCGTGAATCTCTCGAGGCTGTGATCTGTTTTGGCCTGGGCGAACGTAGTCTTGAGGAGAGTATGACTATACCCCAAGAGCCTGGAGATCCTAAAGGTCCTAGCATACCGAATCTAGAGGAAGTGGTGGAAGCGGAGAGCTCCAGTGAGGACGACGATGATGAGGGTATCGATCATGAAAATATGAACTCCTCTTTAACAAATACTAATATTCCTGTACCTGTTCAGTCTTCTATTCGTTTCGCAACATCCGGCTCTCTAGTAGTGGTCCGGCTCCCGTATACGAACGGACACTTGTCACAAACCGCACCGATTCGGTTAACAAACCTTCCGCGCCGAGCACTGACGAGGAATGAGATCTTCGAATCTTTCGGCCGGTTTACAACTTCCCACGGTAATCATGGCCATGATTCTGAAGATGATTCCGATTCTGCCGTTGGTTCTCTAGGATCCTGGGAATCTTCTTCTTCGCCTTCTTCATCCTCTGGCTCGGATAATGAAGCAGGCGCACCTCTTGGGAGGTTCCAACCCCCCATGGCTTGGCAAAAGGCCACCCTACGGTTTCAAACGAGGGCTTCTGTACCATCGTCTGGGAGCGCTGCGAAGCCAATCCAATCGACCGGGAAGTCAGTGGTGTCAATCCTGAGTTCTGCGGTGGAGGAGTTTGTCCCTAGCAAACGATGTCTTGCTGAAGAATATGAAGTATTTGGCGATGGGCCTAGTGTTTGCGTTCATAATGCGGCAGTCGCGAGGAGGCATGGCTTTGAAGATTTGGCAGATGTCTGGGAGCTTTGCAGACTCATACTGAATAATGAAGTCCCCTTGGAAATTCTCCCGCAACAACATAGACGGGAACAGGTGTTAGTATTGGCCAGACGAGCACTGGTAAGAATTAAGCGTAAGGACAGTGGCCTGGACCTCCAATTCGATGAGGCAGATACCGTCACGAACCCCAAGTTAAAAGGGAGAATTAAATGGGGGCATCACTCAGTTGTTTCCTGGCTTATCCCTGCGATCTTCGATCATTTCGAGCGAACGGCTGACATTCAAATGCTAGCGATGCTGTCGTGCATTTTCTCAGAGCCGGCGGCCCGTGAAGGAGTCACCAGCGCAATGGCCAAGATGCGGCAGTCGAGTCTACCCATGTCGATGGAGGCCCCGGCGTTTTCACTGGACTATTTTTCTTCGGCGGACGCAGCGTGGAGCTTGTTTAAACCAACGCTCTCCTTTCCATCGACGCCTGTGTATTCACGGTATGCGACACCAGTGAATGAATTCGGTTGGCACCGGCTCACAAAGAACCTCGACACGTATGGATCACATGGTTCCTCGAATGGTCCCTGGGGTATTGATGTCCTTTTCCCATCTGAGCCCGTAACACCGTACTCAACGGGCGACACTCCGCCAAATCTTTCACGGGTGCCCATGCTGCGGTCCATCCCGAGCCACACACCCTACTCGACGTCGCCGGAGCAACCGCAAATAGTGAAGAAATCCACGTCCACGAACTTCGCTAGTGCATTTGCTTCGTTGTCACGGCCGTTCCAAAATGCGGTTCCATCATCGCCTCCAGTGAAGAGTCGAAACGAAGGTGATTTATCGACGTCAGCGCCAACCAGCGGAGTCACTTGGGGCACAACAACGTTCTATAGTAGCGGCAGCAACGAGCAGCGGAATTCCGGGCCTTCACGTACGACGAAACACGGAAAACGTGCCAGCTTCGGTCAAGCGGATCAGGTCAATGTCGACTATTACTCTGACTCTGACTCAGAGTACAACGATGTTAGACCTACCCATGACAGCGCATCAGAGTATACAGCACCCCTCACACTACGGGATGAAGAGGACGATGGTATGAGCATCAAAGTATCTCTCAAGAACCAAGACAAATTCGACGATGAAGCGTGCGTGAGCGCCCCTCTCCTCGATCTAACCAAAGGATGGTTATATCGCGCGTGGCGAGATCAATACGCCGAAATGCTCAGTTGCTGGGGCATCATCACCAAACGAGCCGAAGTCCTCAAATTCAACGGATTGATATCATACTTCCCACCGGATTCCGGCTGTTCCTCGAAAGCCGGATCCATGCACCTTGCATTGAAAGGCGCGGAAGGAGATCACCACTCTGGCCAAAATTCGGCGCCAATGTCCCGGAGTTCTACGCTTGCACCGCCACATGGGAATTCGCAGTTCGGTCGTTCGCAGCCTGCATCTCCAAGGAGTTTTTGGTTTAATCCAGAAGCTGTTGAATTCCAGCCTAAGATGAGTATGCAGTCACCGAACCTGGGAAATGAACCGGATATGCCGATTCCGCCAGATGTGTTTCTTGGCTCGGAACAATACCTGCGTCTCTCGATCCCCGAGCCCGTGGACAAGGATAGCGGGGAGGCTAGCGGGTTTCCCACATTAAGCTTCGATGGGGCGGCGGAGAGTAAACTTAAACCACAGCAATTTCAGCAGCAGCAGCAACAACAGCAACAACAACAACAACAACAACCAAGCTTCAACCGCTCAATCTCAAACATCTCCCGCGTCGGTGCAGCGAGTCGGGAGAAGAACAACAGCAACAAGAAAACTGTCGTCTATTCCTGCAGTATATGCTGGATCCGCGTCTCCGGCCGCTTCTACCTCTGTCCCGGATGCGGCCACATTGCGCATTTCGAATGCCTTCCACCTCTCAAATCCATCTCCCGCGCCAACTCCTCCTTCGACTGGGGCATCGATGACACTGTTAGTGATAGTGAGTGTGTTGTCGGCTGTGGCTGTGGCTGCGGGCTTGACGATGGCGGCGATGACGATGGTGATAGGAGTGCGGAAGGAGAGGGGGAGTATAGAGGAGGGTGGAGTGAGCGTGGGGGATGGATGCCTGTGTTCGAGGATCCGATGAGTAGGAGGCAGAGTGCGGTGCCTGTGGAGAATGAGAGAAAGGAACTGTATGGGTATGAAGGGGGTTATGGGGATGGGATAGGGGTGTGGAGGGACGATGTTGGAGTTAAAATTGGGGAGAAGGGGAAGAGGAGGCGGAGGTTTGAGGAGGGGATTACTTAGAGGGGACGGACATGATTATTATTTTAGGGTGGGGGTGATTTAGGAGGGGGATATTTAATATTTGGAAGGATATAGGCTTCTATTATTTGAGGTTACGGGATGGTTATTTAGGAGCGGAGATATTGGTTAATAGGTTAATATTCGAGCTCACGGTATTTTTCTTTAATGGGGGAGGAGGGATATGATTTTTATGGAGTTTGAGGATAGGGAGAAGGACGTATGGGAGATCCTAATACCATGTATTCAACAACTGTGTAAGTTTGTACGATATATAATGCTTCTGTAGATACAGTACCTTCGCAGCGCTATCTTTTGTAATACATATCTTCACTTATGGGACCAACTTGCTTTCATGTTGACGTCGGATTCCTGAAAGTCCACACATCCTCAATACGAACGTCTTTTAACATATTACCCGGCGTATCCCTCCCCCGGATACAAGGCCTCCCAAAGAGGGCCGCTTCCTAACCCTTAATACGGCTTTCTATGCATACCGATTCACATCAAGGCTGAAGTGCGCTGGGACGACAAGGCTGAATTCTGAGACTAGTCATCGGAACTAAAGATTGTAGTGCAAATAGGTGGGCAAGGGGTTCATCAATTAGTTTGAATACTCATTGGCTCTAGAAATTGCGGTTCACAGAATATTAGGGACAGTCCTCATGTTTCTGCTCAAATACAACCTAAATCTTCCTTGTCTATGAGATCTCGAAGCTAGAGATTCGAAGGCATGTCGAGTCCGGTCGTAGGGATTAGAAATTGCAGTACACTTCGGATATCTATGCTAAACTCTCGATCATCCCAATCTTGGAAACTGGGGCGCTGCCAGGCGCCACCGAGGAACAAATATTTCATGGCGTCTATGCATATCCAGAAAAATTTGACTACTTCAGTGAACGATACTCCCATCTCTATATAATATCTTTCTAGACCATGGAACGTAAATTATCTTGTGTGGGGGCGGCATGGTTAGTAGTTTCCCGAAAATGGCATCCTTGTAACTGTTGCAGCCTATATATTCTGAGCTCCCGCCTTCGCTTGCACTTGCCAACGGATTTAACCTACGCACGATCCCATTTCTCCTCTATCGTTCTCCCAAATGGATGATTTACTTGTTGCTCGATTGAAGGCCCAGAATTCCCAGATCTCCCGTTTTCATAGCCTCAGCGGCTCTCCGGCGCTGTCTTTAGGAGTGTTCCATCAGGGCAAAGTTATTCATACCGCACATTTCGGTCGCAAAGATGTCTCTAAGTCGAGTCCGCCCAACGATGACTCTGTGTACTACGTAGCATCAATGCTTAAAATACTAACCGTCTCTACGGTTGCAAAACTCGTGCATGACGGGATACTTGGCTGGGATGTACCCGTGCGGGAGTATCTACCAGGATTCAATCGAGAAGATGACATCGGACGGCTGACAACGTTGAGAGATCTGATTGCAAACCGAACCGGTTTGGCTGTCGCCGCTTTCTTTTGGACTCAACAGAACGGCGAGCTTCTGCTTGGGAAAAACGAAATGGTGCATATGGCGTGCCATCTTAAAGCAGTTAAACCTTTTCGAGCATCCTTCCTATACTCTCAATGGAACTACATCTTGGTTCAGATCATCATTGAGACAGTTACCGGGAAACCATTTGGGACACTCATCCAGGAAACCATGATCACCCCGCTTGGGCTCAAGAATACCACTTTCAGTATCCCTCATGGAGAAAATGTGGTCGCTCCACATGCTGTTCGTGACAACGGCACTGCAGCAAAGATTGAGATCAATCCTTGGACGGATGAATCCGGTATCACTGCCGGCGCTGGCGGGAAAGCTTCACTCAATGACTTGCTCACCATCTACATCGAGCTCCTTTCTGCGCACAGTCACCAAAGCTCCCATAATGTGAACACCACGCCAGGGTCGCCCTTTACTCATATGAGGACAATCTTCGAACCCCAAATCAAGGCTCGTAGTTCAGGTTTCGGCAACCAAGACTACTGCCTTGGATTGTACCGAACGAAACTACCTGGGAACCTCAGCATCGCAAGCTGGAATCTCCCCCTTTTTGGCGACAAGATTCCAATATTTGGTGAAACTCTAATAGGCGTCGAGGTTTATCACCACACTATGAGTATTCCTGGGTTTCTGGGCTCTATGTTCCTCGTTCCACGATCAAACAGCGGCGTCATTGTTCTCACCAACGCGACGCCCAAACTAGACGCAACCGACCTATCCGCTCAGTGTCTTCTTGGAGTACTCCTGGGCGAGCCTCGCCCTAATCTCGTTCGTATGGCAGAGATGGGTCAGAAAATGAGCTTGGCCATCTACCGGCAGATCGCATCCTCTTTAGAGCAAAGCCGGACTTTGAAACCACCTTCTTTACCGCTTCAAATGTATGCAGGTGTCTATACAAACTCGGCGGGAAACTTCTTTCTCAAGGTCGATACGACACAGAGAGGGCTGCACATCACAGTCCAGAACAAGGCTCGGGTTGCATACGACCTTTTCCCGTATGACGGGAATGTATTCTACTGGCCGGTTAGCCGTGAAAGAGAGTTGTGCGAGAAAGCCATGTGGCCACACCTTCTTCCTGCATTCCATATTATTACGTTTGGAGTGAATGAAGGTGGTGTGGATTGCTTGAGGTGGCACCATGATCCCTTGGACGGGCCGGAAGTCTTTGCAAAAGATACAAGAAGGTCAAGACTGTAGTGAGAAGATCTACAGAATTTCCCCCCAGGGTATATAACAGGAACCAATAGGTATCAACACTGAGGCAAATCAGTGAAGAATTTGAATGCGTGTACCTTCAAGTGGGGTATGATCAGTCCTCGCGCCATTGGAGGGCGTAGAGTGTCTCCTGCCCCATCATTGTGCCACAAGCCGGACTTCGACAACTCAATGGTTTCCGCATCCGACATGTAACAGTGCCCAATTGAGTGCATTCGCGTGGGCTCAGTCTTGGCTTCTTTATTTCTCCGTCAATGGTTGTCACCCTACAGTCTCGCCGCGCTGAGCGACAACCCTCCGTCGATCACAACTGTGGCCCCGGTCATGTAGCTTGCCCCAGGACTACATATGTGGACTATTGTATTAGCAATCTCATCTGTGCTAGCCAGGCGGTGGAGTGGAGTTCGGTCAATGAGTAGCTGCCTGAAATGAGGCAAACGGTCAATTGTCGAAGTCAACATGGGAGTATCAGTGCCGCCGGGAAGGACAACATTCACCCGAATTAGATCCTTCGCAAGGTCTAGCGCTGCAACTTTGGTAGCAGCAACAATGGCATGCTTAGCCGTTACGTACGACATGTTACCAGCGTTGGCCATGATTGAGTTGACAGACCCGAGGTTCACAATTGAGCCGCGACCAAGAAGTCTCTCTGGATGGCGACTTGTGCGCCGCGTCTCGGGAATGAACGAGGTGGGTTCCTGGGATTGCATTGCTTTAGAGACAGCTTTCATGCAATTGACGGTCCCGTAGAGATTGATGCGAACTACACGGTCAAAGTGCTTCGTATTGAGGTCTGATATCGGGAAGCTAGACATATTTGGGGCCTGTCAACAGTTAGTAGGACTCAGAGGTGCGGTCCAGAATTAACTTACACCAGCACAGTTGACAAAATAGTCGATTCTGCCCCCAAGTGCCTTTACTGCTATATCGACCATGTTTTGCACACTGTCTTCGTCCACTACATCCACCTTGATGCTGAAACTCTGATAGGCGGGATTTACAGCATATTCCTTGCTTTGCTCGGCTGCCTTCTGCGCGTTATTCTCATTGATGTCTGCGATAGCAACGGCCTTGCAACCGGCTTCCGCGAACGCGAACGCAGTCTCCTGGCCAATACCGCTTCCTCCCTAGATAGGCGATCAGTTGACAATTTTAATAGGTACCAATTTTAACGTACACCGACGACAAGGGCTGTGCCGGTGAGAGGCATAATGTCCGAGTCGGGGGTATTCTGTTTGAAGGTGTTGGTGAAAAGGCATGTGAGAGGGCGAGGGATTCACGCGGTTAATATGAAATTTTGCTTAACGGCGATTGTGTAACAATAAGCGACTGTATGTGCTAGGTGAACAAGGGCCGAGCCGCTATGATACTGTTAGATGGGTTGATGATGGCGAGATTCCAGAAGGATGGACCACAGCGCTGGGTTATTCGGCTTATGAGAGGATCCAAAACATTAATATCACTTGCGTCGGCTTCGTTGCCTCTTTCATGTTGTAAGCTGTCCATTCGACAGGGTTAGACTGACTTCGATGCGTCGTGCCAAGGTTTACATAGCAATTGGTGTTCTTCGGTCCTGGTAGCCCTATCGTTGGACGAATGGATTTGACATAAAACGGCTCCAATTCGCTTTCCTTAGCGTGATGCTTAGGAGGGCTCTAAGGGAGTTTAGTAGGCATGTTAGATCAATAATCCGTGCCTCATCATCCCCAACGCCACACAGGTCTCTCGCACACTGTTGCAACACTATAGATTTAATTTGCGCTGATTTGCACCAGCTTTATCTCCGAGGCCTGATTATTGTCTAGACTGACGTTTAGCCTAGATGCAACTGTGACATTACAGTATTCACACCAGCAACATCTGACTATCAACCCATCATTCCTATTCGGGTTAGCAGGCGGACTAACTCTAACGAGGCCCTGTCGGAGTGGACAGTATAACCGTACGATCGCTGCCTCCACCGCACTAGCACAGCCGTCTCGACAACACCGTGAGGAATATGGAGGGAGTAAGCAAAATTCTTTTCAGTTTCACAGCAGCGCGAACGTTTGAGGTAGACAAAATGAAAAGCCATTGATCAATCCAATATCAAGGTTACAATTACAAACCCCAGCAAGAAACATTGGCCGTCCTCAATCGTCACTCATTCCTTCTGCGACATAGCCTCCTTCTCTGTTTGTCCTGAATCCGCAGAACTCAGCCGCTCGATATAGTCTGGCTGAGTCTGGAACTCGAGCACAAACCCGTTCTCACTGGGATTCTGAGATTCCTTGCTCGGAGCTGGAGCGAGGTCAACCACTCCAGACTGGCCACTCTCACGACTATGAACCCAAGTGAACGTTCTCTGCCACGCGCTCCTAGCACTAAAACCATGCTTTCCGGATTCCTTCGAACTCCTGGAGTCTCTCCATGACTGAAGTAGAGATCTTAAAGAAAGGCTGATCTTGCTGGAACCGTCCACCATTGACGCTGCGAATTTTGGCAGCACTGGGAGAGCCACAATGAGAAACCCGCTCATCATTTCCGCAAAAGACACCACACCTATAATTGACAGATAGTATGTCTTGTCCTCGTTCTGGGCCAGCTTGACGGCAAACACTAGTCTCATGCAAGCGAAGACGATTGCGCTATATGCTATTAGCTGAGCCGGGACTGGAAATTCAAACACGATGAATTAAATGCTTACAGGGCTCCTATGCAAAATACGAATACCAGCTTCGCTCTCCTACGCCAGTCGGAAACTAAAAGTCGCCAGATGACCCACTGCGGAAGGAAAAATATGACTACATCGGTAACAACATTGCCAATTCCAGCAGCAATGTTTATGGCCTCAGTATTCAAACAGTGGCCTTCTTGGAGCATGACATCCCACGATTTCCGAATTGGGGAACATGAAAAGACCTCTAGGAAGGTGCAGATTGTGTAGAAGAGGACGTTGAGCCAGAGGATGAAGTGCGATGACCAGAAGACTAGATCTCGAGTTCCTGGGGGTACGAAAACACGAAGGATTTGGATGATAATCGCAGTCTTGACCAGAGTAATTATCACACCATTCATTGGTGCTCCGATATAGATATACTGTTGGACATGGTAAGTCTCAATGCGTAATTGTATTCAAGTGGTGAAACAAACATAGAGCCAATCTCCTAGTCGCTTGAGCTGAATATCCCATTGATGGTAACTTGGAGCGAAGTTGTAGAGACACAACACGACTCCTGCATAAGGAAGAAACACGATCTGCGTTATCTTAAGTATATTGAAGACAATTGAAGCATCAATGTCGAACCCAAGCAAAAGCCATGATATCTAAGTCGCTGTCAGCTATTCATTCTCGGAGAGAAATGTAGTACGATTACTGGAAACTCACAGTCCTCCCAATGTAGTTTCTTCACGATGCAGGCCTTGACGTAGATACGGCTCCATACTGCGAGTGTGGCAATGATGATGCAAGTAACCGTTACGGCTAAGTACAAAGGTGAAGAGTTCGAGAAATCTGTAAAATTTGGCTTTACGCCCTTCGGTGGGGCTAGCGCTGGCCCATTAAGCAACTTCTCGATCTCGCTTGAAGTCAACATGGTCGTGTGTGGGCTACGGTTTGTCGAGGTTCACTAGTGTTCTGGCCTTTCTTAAACACATGAGGATGCTTCGACGCTATCACGCGTCCGAAGCTATCGGACCCATCGAAGCGTGTTCCGCGCCCATCGGAGTCCGAAGACCCTATGGCACGCTGAGTCAAATTGCCTTGATTTTCCCAGGGTTGAGCGCTAACCAAAGGATGGGAAGGGAGAGGTATATAGGATCAGGCAATGGTTCAGAAACAGGCGTACCTCGGGTGCTGTAGGCTGCATGAAGCTCGCCATCGCGATTACCGCTCAGTTATTGATCGCAAGGACAAGGATAGTTAAAAACATCGTTGGGAAGCCTGTCACGAAGCAAATGGATCCACTTCCAGGGGTGGACATGGATGGGTCATCCATCTGTACCCCCTATTCCATGAGGTTTCCGCTCCTTCCAGTCCATCTAGAGGATAGTTTATCAGTGCCAAGAATGGTTGCAGCCAACAGATATCAAGCTTTGTCAAGAAAACAGCCAGTATTTGCCAAGCCCGGTCGTGGGGCAGGGCATACCACAACGTATTGCCCATTTAGATCCTCACACTTCTAATTAAATTGGACTTAACAATCCATAGACTACTTCCGCAGATAGAGAGATACCTTCCCCACATAGGCACCGCTGCCCATGTCTAGAAAGCGCTGTTGCGTCAGAGACATCATGAAAGTGCTCCCACCTCATGCCTCTATCGTGGTGTGCTCTATATGTTCTACATCACTTGCGTGTGTAGAGGCTGCCTTTCTTGCTCTCCATTCATTTTAGTCTGCAAATTCAATGGCAGAAACATGTGAACACGCCAATGTGGAACAGGTCGGAGAGGGTGGAGCAGCCGACAACGAGACCACATATCTCAAAGGTGTAAGGCTCCGTGTCATCACCGTTGCGTATGTGTATGATTCCGAACACGGCTAGTTGAATTATTGACCAAATCCATCATGTTTCAGTCTGTGCATGTACCTATTTCTACAAAATCTCGAAATTCCTATCGTGGTTACATCACTAGTATCGATCACAGACGACATTCGGGGCTTCGATCGAGCATACTGGATTGTGTCTGCGTATCTTCTAGGTTACGTGGGTGAGAGTGATGTTTGAATGACTTAGTGGAACGATGCTAATACTCGTAGGTGTACTCATTATTTTCGCGAAACTGAGCGATATTTTCGGACGCAAAGCTGTCATCCTACCCGTATTCGCTATTTTCATCATTTCCTCTGCAGCCTGCAGTGCGGCTCAATCGATTACACCATTGATTGTATTTCGAGCGTTTCAAGGGGTGGGAGCTGCTGGCTATGCTCTTTGTGCCATTATCTTTGTCGAATTGGTACCGAAAGAGAAATACGTCAAGTACACTGCGTCCCTTTCTTTCGTGTATGCGCTTTCTCTGTCACTTGGTCCGATATTTGGTGGAGCTATTAGTGGTAATGGCTCCTGGCGATGGGTATTTCTCCTCAAGTAAGAGCTTTCTATCCCACTACTACCCCTGACTTGAATACCTTGGAATTAATGTGTCATTAGCATCCCAGCAGGGGTTCCAGCCTTAGCACTCATTGCCTTTTGTTTGCCAAATGGCTTCCCGTATCATAGCCAGAGAGCACTTCGTGGAGAAGAGAATGCTGAATCGAAGCCCAAACATGTTATTCAACGAATAGACTTTCCTGGCGCGATTTTGCTTTTACTTGGCACCTTGAGCCTCACCACAGCTCTCCAAGAAACAGGTCGCACATATGCCTGGAAATCAGCTTTCACAATTTCTCTCCTGACGATATCTGGCGTTCTCTGGATATTGTTCTTGATATGGGAACGGAAAGTAACGATGGACTCGGGCACAATGCAGCCAGTGTTTCCTTGGAGATTCATGAAGAACAGACCTTGGCTGGGTTTACTTCTGTAAGTTATACTCAATTATGTTCTTGTTTCTATCCACGAAAGCAGATATGTCTACTCAGCCACTTGCTAACAACTACCACGAGGAATGGTATCTCCTTAGGCGCTGTATGGTTCGTTACTGTTCTCGAACTTCCCCAAAAGTTTGAGATTGTGAACGGTTCTTCACCACTGCAGGCTGGGATTCATCTCATGCCTTTCACATTTGCATCCCCTATTGGCGGTGTGATCGTCTCGATCATCGCGAAGGCAAAAGTGCCTCCAGTCTATCTGCTTTTGAGTGGGTCAATTTTGCAGCTAGTTGCATACATACTCCTAGGTACATTGCCAATATCTACGAGGATAAGTCGTGCCGAATATGGATATCAAGTTTTGGCTGGTATGGGTGTTGGGGCAAATATCAGCTTGGGGACCCTCATGACTCCATTCTCTGTCGAAAAGCAGGATACAGGCAAGTATTACCTACAGGTGCATGGATATTCTGCTGAATGGATGTAGCTGTTGCTTTGGGGGCCCTTCCGCAGTTCCGAATAATTGGAGGAGCTATTGGTGTCGCCATTGCTACATCGGTCATGAACAGCCGTCTAAATTCATCGCTTGGCCACCTCTTTTCTCCAGCACAGATAAAGGCAGTCTTGGACTCGCCACAAGCTCTTCGAAATGCACCACCAGAGGTGCAAGATTTTATGACGACCACATTAGCAATTAGCCATCGATCAGTCATGCGAATTCTCTGTGGATTCTCTGCAGGACAGGTACTAGCTTCGCTCATTACGTGGAAGAAGCCACAAATTAGAGTTTAAGATGAATTAGCTCTTCTAATTCTGGAAGAGTGATGCGTTCGAAGTCAAATGCCTGAGCGGAAATAAAAGATGATTTAGAAGTTGTTTTGTTTGCCACACGTCTAACAATAAAAGTCTTGCTTATTGGTGCAACAACCCCTTCAGGTGGATCGATCAAGCTAGGACCTCGAGTCTGCGCGCCCATGGCCGGTGCGGATTTCGTTTGGGGCAAAGCTAACATGATAATATGACACCACCTCGGAGTCGCCAAGACATTTTGGCCAGCGTGTATTCCTCCTTGCTCTTTTGCGCTTATTCTATTCCGGCTGTATCAATCACTCGGACAAGGGTGATGGGATTTTGGCCCGATGGATGGCATCCTAGAAAGCACTATCAATCCTAGTAAAGGAACCGCACACAGGACTTTAATAGGGGAACGTATCGGGTGCGGACCGTTGCGAAGCAGGGATTGAAACAGTCTAGGAAGTATGAAAGCAATCCTGGCCAGGTGAAGGCTAACTTGTCATGGATATATGGATGGTAAGGCACAGAATTATGGCCCCCACAACGGTGGCATTTACCAGAAAGCAATTCCGGGACGAGTGTGAATGTTTGAAGCGGGGTGACGGCACAAGGTAAGGCAGAGAGTGAACTTGCTAGGAGATCGAATCTCTTTATGAAAAGTCAATAAGTATGGCGTGGTCCTAGGTAGAACATCCAATAAGTTTACTCACCCGTCCACCTTAAGTGCATTATTTTGTTACCCATTGCGGAAACGTCGTCCAAAACGCATCATCATGAACGGCGAAGTCATTTCACCAGCAAACGGTCTCTCTTTGTTGGGGAACATGGATGTAGTTGAGCCTTTGGCAGTCGTTGGTATTTCTCTGAAGTATCCTCAAGATGCTACATCGCCAGAGCGTTTCTGGAATATGATGGAGGAGAGACGATGCGCCATGACCGAATGGCCAAGAGATCGAGTCAACATCGATGCGTTCTACAATCAGGAGCAAGCAAGCAAATCCGAGGTAGTCATATGTGCGATTCAAAAGCTCGCCACTGATGACGGTTATAGATCCCTGCTCGTGGGGCGCATTTCCTTCAGGAAGATCTCGGACTTTTTGATGCATCCTTCTTTGCGATGAATACAAAAGAAGCAAGCGCAGTAGATCCCCAGGCACGCATACTTCTGGAAACATGTTACCGGGCCTTGGAGAACGGTACGTTCATAACGCTTCATGCGGAACGGAAACTTTGGAAGCTTACTAGATCAGCTGGCATGCCGATGGAGCACGTGCATGGCTCTCGAACAGGAGTCTACACTGGCTCTATGTCGGATGCATACAAACTCCTCCTCGTAAGAGACAGTGATGACTTCCCTCAGTATGCTGCAACTGGTGTTGCTGTTAACATGCTTGCGAATAGAATCAGCTGGTTCTTCAACTTCACTGGGCCGAGCATTAATCTTGACTCTGCATGCTCGAGCAGCTTGATGGCACTTGATATTGCATGTCAAGGTCTTCGGCAAGGGGAGTGTGATATGGTACGTGATCAAACAGCCGGGAATATATGTTGAGGTCTTTTCTTGGTGATGGTATTTCGATTTCCGGGCGTTTGGTAGATTATCGATCTTTAGAAGGAGCAGACACTGTTTGGCAGCCTATCATGCTCGATTATTCTGATATCACTCCCACGCAAGTGGCTCGAGGTATTTTGCGGCACCTATTGTTCTCAGCTAACCGTTGATTAGGCACTGGTTGCTGGAACCAATATTCTCCTCGGAGTCGAGACCCCATTGTCTCTTGCAAAGATGGGATTTATCTCTCCTTCCAGTCGTTGCTACAGTTTTGACGAAAGGGCTGATGGGTACAGCCGCGGGGAAGGCCTAGGTGTCGTTGTTGTGAAGCGACTTCATGATGCCCTTAGACATAACGACACTATTCGCGCAGTAATTCGTGCGACGGGCTCCAACCAAGACGGCCGCACACCTGGACTTACCCAACCGAATGGAGAATCTCAGGCGCAGCTGATCAGAGACACTTACGCCAAGGCAGATCTCAGTTTTGCTCACACACGTTTCGTGGAAGCCCATGGAACTGGAACAGCCATTGGAGACCCTACCGAGGCCAACGCCATTGGAAGGGTATTTCACCAACATCGCTCGAGCCAAGACCCTTTATACGTAGGCGCTGTAAAGGGGAATATTGGGCATCTCGAAGGCGGAAGCGGCATAGCGGGTGTCATCAAGGCTATTCTTTGTCTCGAGAAAGGACTCATCCCTCCCAATGCAAATTTTGAGCAGATCAATTCCCGGATTCAGGCAAAAGCTTTGAACCTAGAGTTTCCTACTTCGCTAACTACATGGCCCGAATGTGACATCCGACGTGCTTCGGTCAGTTCTTTTGGATTCGGTGGATCTAATTCGCATGTCGTACTCGACGATGCTTACAACTTCCTGCGAAAGAGGGCATTACGAGGACATAATACCACATATCACCACAGAATACGTATGAATCATTCTAAAGATAGCGACGGACGATGCAATAGTGGCATGAATGGATATGCAAACGGGCATATAGATACGACTACAAGAAGAAAATTAACATTATTGGTTTGGAGCGCTGCTGACGAGCATTCGGCCGGCATTTTGGTAGAGAAGGCGAGCCATTTCCAGGCTCAGACAGACCCTTCCACACTTGACGATGTGGCATACACTCTTGGCTTTCGCCGGAGCCTACTTCCTTGGCGATCTTTCGCCGTAGTAAGCTCTACTGAGAGCTCTGCCTGTCTCGGTGGGGCTGGGACGCGCATATCGAAACCCATCCGTTCGAGGATGAAGCGAGGCCTTGCCTTCATCTTTACGGGGCAGGGAGCTCAATATAGAGGCATGGGCCGCGGCCTTCTCCAGTATCCAGTTTTCAAGAAGACCCTAGGTCTCATCGACAACCTGATGCGTACTTTCGGATGTTGTGTATCCTTTCTAGGTAAGTTCGCCTTGTAATGTATCAGACTAGTAATTTGATAACGCCTGTTAGACGTTATTTCCTCGGACAGCAAGGATGTCAATATAGATTCCCCCGAAGTCAGTCAGCCACTCTGTACAGCTATCCAGATCGCGCTTTTACACCTGTTGAAGAGTTTTGGCATTGTTCCGTCGACAGTAGTAGGACACTCATCTGGAGAAATTGCTGCTGCGTAAATGACCCACAATCTGTAACGATACACTTGGACTAACACGAGATAGCTACGCTTGCGGAGGACTTTCTCTCGAATCTGCCTGCAAAGTGGCGTATCTTCGAGGCAAACACGTGTGCAATGCATCGCAACCATGTAGACGTGGAGCAATGTTGGCCGTAGGCATGTCTGAACAAGACTACAAAGCGTTCCTACACCGGCATTCACTGGGACACATCGGGCAAGAACTTCCCGTCGCGTGTATTAATAGCCCTAAGAATATCACCCTTTCCGGATGCGAGGACCTTGTCAATTCAATCCACGCACTCTTCTCCGACTACGATATATTCTCTAGGAAACTCAAAACTGGAGCCGCGTATCACTCTCCTTGGATGAAAGAATCTGCTAATTTATACTGCAGCGCTCTTGGAGACTTACTACCCGGCGAAGCGCTCCATGAAGGCATTGAAATGCTTTCATCGGTGACACGTGATAGTATTGACAGCACCACTGCAAAGACTTACTTTGGGTCAGAATACTGGGCCCAAAATATGATGAAGCCTGTCCAATTCTCCGGTGCGCTGACAGATCTTCTTAGACGAAATCGGAGCTCTCGTGCAACTGGTAGTACATCAATCGTAGTCTCGGACCTGGTCGAGGTCGGACCCCATTCGACGTTGCAACGGGCCGTCAATGAGATCCTCGATCATGCATCAATATCTAATGTTCAATATCAATCTTGCCTTAGCCGTTTTGACCAGAGCTCTCGGCCATTACTTGAGTTAGCAGGCCGACTTCACTGTGCCGGTTATCCAATTCAGCTTAATAATGTCAACCAGATGGAGAACATGAGCACTTACAAATGCCTCACCGATCTCCCAGAATATCCATTCAACCACAGTACAAGATATTGGCACGAGAGTCGATTGAGTAAGAACCTATGCCTTCGACAACATCCACCACTTCATCTTCTTGGTACCCTTTCCCCAGAGTCCACAAACCTGGAGTCACGGTGGAGGAAGTTTCTTAGTATCGCCGAGATGCCATGGCTGCGCGACCACCAGATCAATGGCAAGATCGTGTTTCCTGGCGCAGGGATGCTAGTTATGGCAGGAGAAGCAGTATCGCAGACACGTCGTTCCCATCGGAAAACAACTGGGTTTTTTGTGAAGGAATCAGCCATTTCAAATCCGATTATCATTCCCCCAAACGAGGAAGAGCGTGTTGAAGTGGTCACTTATGCTCGGCCCATCCAAAATAGCTCGAACAAGGACCACGATGATGTCCATGTTCGAATCTGTGTCGAAGAAGGTGGAGTGTGGGTCGAGGCTTGCGCAGCTTTGATCCAAGTCCATTACGAACCACCTGAGGAGGAAGTCGACAACGGAAGAGAGCAGAAGCTCCGAACGCACGAATGCAACCGCATATACACCAATGCGAAGCAGCGATGCCATCAGAAGGTAGACCCGAGAACGCTGTACCAGCATTTTGCAAAAATGGGAATGCAATACGGTCCAACTTTCCAGGCTTTGCGTAATGTGTATTGGGACGGACACCAGACTGCTATAGCTGAGATGAGTTTGCAGTTCCCAGAAGAGCTGAGGTCAGCAGGATATGGCTCACTTACCCACAAGATTCACCCAACTTTGTTAGACGCCATAACTCACCTCCCCTGGGTTGCATTGACTAAGGGAGCAACTCAAGTGCAGCCCACGGGGGTTCCAAGCAAGATGAGAGGTTGCTGGGCCAGCAGCAGTGGACTGACTACGTCTCCGTCTACCACTTTGCGGGCATTTAGCACGACCGCTTTCAAGGGCCATCGAGGAACACTTTCATCAATGTTTGTACTTGATGAAGACGACAATGTAGTTATGTCCTTTGATCATATGGAAACAACTGCGGTTTCCTCGGCGGATTCACATCTTTCTGAATTTTCAAAACGCCGTCGGCTTTGTTGGGAGATGAGTTGGAAATGCGATCCAAGTCTCTTGGCTCCAAACCAGTTAAACCGCTTACTGCAATTTCATCTCGTCGACGTGGGAGATAGAGAGGTATTTTTCCCCCGAATGACACAAATGTGCCGTATCTTCATCAATGGAACGCTTGGAAAGATCAGTGGAAACGATATCGACGAAGCTAGACCACACATCAAACGATACATGAAGTGGATGAAGGCACAACAGGCCATGTGGCGGGAAGGGAACGTCGCCGAGCTTAAAAAAACTCCAGTGCAAGAAGAAATTGGAGCAGAAGAGTTTGATACCCTCGTGCGGTGGGTAGAGGCAGAGAACCCGACCGGGAGGCTTTTCGCGACTGTAGGCCGCAATTTGCCAGCCATTATTCAGGGTGATGTTGACCCGTTGGAGCTTTTATTCGACAAAGAAACTCAGTTGGCCGAGAATTATTATGCAGATAGTATGCGCTCGAGTGCTTTCGTACCGCCATTACGTTGTTACATTGATATGTTAGCGCACAAAAATCAAGCGATGAAGATTCTTGAAGTAGGTGCAGGTACCGGCTCAATGACGGCGCACATCCTCTCGTCAGTGTTTTACGGTCCAGAGGAGGCTGATCGAAAGCACCTTGCACCAAGATTGGCGTCGTACGATTACACGGACATCTCACCATACTTCTTCGACAAGGCTAAATCACGTTTCGCCGCAACGGAACTAGACTTCATCAGATTTTCCACGCTTGACATTGAACAAGATCCAGTTGATCAAGGATTCCAGCCGGGGACTTATGATATGGTCGTCGCCAGCGCCGTGCTTCATGCGACGCGAGACTTGGAAGAAACCCTCCGCCATGTTCACAGACTGCTGAAACCAGGTGGAAAGTTGGTGTTTGCTGAGATTGTTCAACCGGAAATCCTTCGCGCTGGGTTTGCCTTCGGTCTACTCCCTGGCTGGTGGCGCGGCTTGGAGGAATACCGAGATATGAGTGCGTGTATTTCTCGAGAACGCTGGAATGACTTGCTGATGCAGGCCGGTTTCGGCGGCATCGATATCTACTTCAGAGACCACGAGAGTGATATATCCCACGAATACGGCGTCATGGTAGCTACAGCCACCGAAGATAAAGAGACTGGAAATTCCCACGATATAGTCATTCTTAAAGATGACGACTGCGAACTTGCAGCAGAACTCATCAGTGCCCTACAAGAGCACTTCATCGGAAGCTCGGTCCTAACTCCTGAACAAGTTGGCAACGCAAATTTCTCGGAAGAGACTTGTATTATTTCTCTTCTTGACGTAGAAAAGCCGCATCTACAGGACTTGACTGAGAGAAAGTTTGAGAGGCTCAAGTCCATTTTCGCGGCATCTAAGCGGATGATTTGGGTTTCCAACTATGATCCAGATGCCAGGGACTCGCCATACTATGCTATGGTGAATGGTCTCATGCGCGTCCTCCGTTCAGAAGACTCGAGTCGCATTCTCATGACATTGTCACGGACAGGATCCTTGGATCCAGCGAAACTTGCATCTAGCATACACAAGATTTTGACGACTCCTAATTTTGGGGAGATGGGGGATATCGAATATTGGGAACGAGACGGCATAATTGAAGTACCACGAATCAAGGAAGCTTCCGCGATCAACGATGATCTTGGCTCTCGACTTAAACCTCAGCTTCATCATCTTGGTTTCAATAACTGCGGGCCGTTGGCTCTAGAGGTGGCTGTGCCTGGTGCGCTCGATTCGCTACGGTGGGTCAAAGATCCCGTTCACGCTCTTGAGATTGGTTCAGATGAAGTTGAAATTCAGATCAGAGCTGTGGGACTAAACTTCCGCGATATTTTTATCGCCCTGGGTCGACTCGATGAAGACACTGATCTCGGATACGAATGCGCAGGGATAGTGAGTCGAGTGGGAACGAACTGCAAGGACCTACAACCGGGAGACCCCGTGTGTGTACCTACTTCACCATGTCTGAAGTCTTACGCTCGCTGCCATCACAGGCTTCCTATCAAAATCGCAGATGGTGTTTCCTTCGAAGAGGCTGCTGCCTTGCCGGTCACGGGAGTCACAGCCTATTACTCGCTGGTCGAGCAAGCAAGACTGCAAAAGGACGACACAATCCTGATTCATGCTGGGGCTGGAGGTACAGGCCAGATGGCTATACAGATTGCTCAATTAGTAGGTGCTGAAGTGTTCGTGACAGTTGGATCTCAAGAGAAAAAGCAACTTGTGATGGTAAGGTACAAAATACCAGAAGATCACGTCTTCTACAGTCGGAATAAGTCCTTTGCGGAGGGAATCCGTCGTATGACGCAAAATAGAGGGGTAGACGTCGTGCTTAACTCACTCTCGGGTGATTTATTGACTACCACTTGGGAGTTAATGGCTCCTGGAGGTCGCTTTATCGAGATCGGAAAACGCGACATCGAGGCTAATTCCAAATTACCCATGGAACAGTTCCGGCGGAACGTATCTTTTTGCGCCGTGTCCATTGACAGACTAAGCCCGGTAAAGATGAGGAATGTGTTCGTCGAAGTCATGAAAATGGTTGGAGACGGTCGTCTCAAACACCCACACCCGCTTCATGTTTATTCGATTGGCAACATCGAACAGGCATTTAGATTCATCCAGTCTGGAAAGAACAGTGGTAAAGTCGTGTTGAACATGACTTCATCGGACACGGTTCCGGTGAGCTAGACAATTCTTGATGACATGGACTGAGGCTGATAACTCTTAGGTTTTACTGAAATACGAACCACATTACCAGTTTGATCCCAATGCAAGCTATGTTATTGCAGGCGGACTTGGTGGCCTTGGCCGAAGCGCTGCTCGATGGATGACTGAAAGGGGTGCCAGAAATCTCATCTTACTCTCCCGCTCAGGCCCTAAATCTCAAAGCGCAAAAGACTTGATCCGCGACCTTGAGGCACAGGGAAAGCAGGTTGAAGCTCTTCCGTGCGATGTAGCATGTCGCTCCACTCTCTCCTCGACCCTGTCTCAGTGTTTACAAAAGCTTCCTCCCATCAAAGGTTGCATCCAGGGTACAATGGTACTGAAGGTATGTGCGACTCCAAGCCGCCATGATACGATGCTAAGACTGCTCTAGGATGCATTGTTCGAGAACATGTCTTTTCTAGAATGGGAGCAAGCTATCGCGGCAAAGGTCCAAAGTTCGCTCAACCTCCACGAGGTCCTGCCTCGAGACCTCGATTTCTTTGTTATGCTCTCCTCGATGGCAGGAATAATTGGGTCGATCGGGCAAGCAAATTATGCATCAGGGAACACATTTCAAAACGGTCTAGCAAGATACCGGCGTCGTATTGGTGAAAAGGCGGCGGCTCTGGACTTGGGATGGATGGCAGATGTCGGCATTCTCGCCGAAAAGGAAGAATATCGCCGCGGAAGAGAGGGAATAGTCGACACTATCGAAATCCACGAGACTGAATTCCACGCCCTTCTCGACTATTACTGCGATCCAGCGTTGGAGGTATGCTACGACGCGGATGTACAACCAATCATAGGCTTAGCACCCACAGCTGAGCTTCGTCACCAAGGCTACGAACCACCCGCAGCTATGAACACACCTACCTTTGCTATTCTCGACCAGATAGATCGAGATAGTCTTAGTGCGGTAGGCGTAGATGCCCAGGCCCATAGTTCCACCGAGGACTTCTTCCGCGCCACTACCGATGAGGAAGCAAGTGCCGTTGTTATTTCTGCGTTGCTCAAGAAGTTAGAGAAGACTTTCTCTATCCCTGTTGACGACAGCGCAACTTCAAAAGCATTGTCTGCGTACGGTGTCGACTCACTTCTGGCAATTGAGATCAAATCATGGGTTAGCAGAGAATTCATGTCTGATATTGCTGTATTCGATATTATGGGTGGCGCATCAATCGAGCAGGTGGGCGATCTGGTTACTGAGAAATGCAAAGCAAGGAAGTCGGGACGTACAAGCTGAGAGCCTAGTTGAATCTGATGTAGCGATCACGAATAGAGTTACAGACACCATAGTCTAGGGAGGTAGCTGCAATTAATAAGGGAAAGGGTCTCTGTACTGTAAATGAAGAGCATATCGATTCCACTGATCGAAAGCCTAGCTCAGATCGAACAAAGAGGTGAAGTGTAGACAGGATAACAAAATTTACTAGAGGGGTTAGCGTTTGACCCAATGAAGCAGCATCGGGACATGCTATGGCCCGGTCTTGGGGACTTGGCAGCCTTGGAGGCTATAGATTGCAATGAAACTGGGCTCTGAGATGAGTTGTCCGACTGACGGATCGATGAGGAGTCTCATTGTGGGCGGTAGGAATTGCAGTGCTGATGCACTGAGGTTTTAGCATGTTCCTCTTCATTATTTGGGGGAGAGCCTGAATTATTCTCAGCTCAGTCGGCGTTAGAGATTTGCGGTGCATCTCGCAAGGCTGAGGGATTGGTAGAGAGTAAAGTCTAGTGTGGGCCTGAGGAAATGCGGTGCTTCCTTCCGAGTCTCGTGAGATAGCTAGGCTGAACATTCGAAGAGGGTTTGCATCGTGGAAGCAAGAGATGACAGTGCAATCTGACCTCGGAAGATCTCGGTCACCGTCACTAGCTCGAAAAGGTAAGGCGGGGAAATGGGACTGCTCTAGGGCGCTAGAGATTGCAGTGTAAAACTTCGGCCTTCTACAGGGGGGTCTCCTGAGCGGGCTGTTCCGCGTGCACAAGCCAACATCTGTGCGTAGAATGTTCTAAATAATTTACAACCCTTTGTAAGTAGGTTGCTAACAAACTTTACGTCCCTTGTTCAGCTCACTCCACCACTAAAATGTACTATAATGCTAAAGACACTAAATTAACAATTAACGTACAAGGAGCGTATACAGATTAATACCCTTCATAAGATAGGCTGGAAACAAAAGGATATTGCCTAGAAACTAGGGATACCTGCTTCTACAGTCTCTCTCTGCCTCCGTACGCCTGAGACGCCCACAAAGCCTAAGGGACAGTCTCCTATCCTATTAACTCTATTTTAAATCCTCCTTGTACAGCATGCAACTAAGAACGCTAAGCAGCAACAGAAAACTTAAGAGGAGATAGCTTAAGAGCTAGGGATAACTGTCTGCCGGCAATCGCTTATTAAGGCCTTTAAGAAGGAGCTCTATTATCGCCGCAAGGCTACAAAGAAGCCCTTCCTTACTAACTAACACAAGGCAGATTGAGTTAAGTGGGCATAGGAGCACCTAGACTAGACTGGCGATCAATGGGCTAGTATAGGCTAGAGCGACAATATAAGTGCTTAGGCTAGCCCTAGCAAGGTGTAGGTAACAAGGAGAGCTAAAGAGCGCTTCCTGCCTGCCTGCTGCGTCGCTTAATTCAAGGGCTACTCAAGCTGCATAGTGTGGGCGATGATATCTAGGGATATAAAGGGCCCCCTTGTTGTGTACAAAAAGAGCTAGTGTACAAACTAAAAGCACTTAGTTAACTCTAAGGTCTATATTAAGCATATCCTGCCGCTTATTATGGCCTTTTAAGACGTGTACACAGCGTACACAGGCAAGCAGCTAACCTTAATAGAGGATAACGCATCTATCCATACATCAAAGGCTACAAAGGAGGCTGAGGAGGCCCTGGGTATCCCAAAGATCTAGTGGCCAGCAAACTCACCTAACCTCAACCCTATTAAGAACGTCTGGCAGATCTTAAAATATCGCCTAGGGAAGCGCTTTCTAAAGACTAACAGCAAGGTAAGGCAGTATCTCCTTAAAGAGTAGGAGAAATTGTCTTTTAGTGACTATAGCAAGTACATTAAGTTAATAAGGGAGCGCTGTTGGGCAGTTATTAAGGCTAAAGGTGGACATACAAAGTGGTGAGACAGTGGTGGGACAAAATAACAGTACAATGCTTATTTATATGTATTTTACATAGAAAACAGCATTTCGAGAGCATTCAAGAATCGCTGGCCTGTGCGCGCGGGTGCAGCCCGTTCATGGAGGGGGGTTGTAACCAGGGCTTCCAACAGGCCGTACTACGGTCCGTACAAAGTGAACCGTAACGGTCACGTGTTCAGTACAAACGTACTAAGTTTGTAAGCCGCACTGTACAGTTAATAATGCCCTAGGTACAGTACATAGTACAGATTATATTACCTTTTTAGGAAGTTTTTATAGCAATTTTAGAGGAGTAGAGGACTCTAGTAAGCAGAATGTAAGGCCGAGATGGTGCTTACGTGCGACGGGTATATATACTATTCTGTACGCAATAATTAACTGTTAGTTGATTATTCGCACCTTTTTAGTTGTATTAGCGTAGTGGTACAGAGCTCCGTCCTTACACAGAAGGTCTGCAGAGAGAGCTTCTAGAGCTCTAATTAGCTAAAAGTTTTATAAAGGCGCTTAAATCTCTTTTTAAGAGGTTGTCAGATATGCGCACCTACTGTCAAGACAGGAGGAACGTTTGACGAAAGCTGCTACATAGTACGAGCAATAA